ATAATGAATATACCTACGTATAATGAAGCAATTAAACCTTCAACTGAAACGTCGTTTATTGAAAAAAAAAATACGATTTCGTCGTGACACAATGTAAATGGAAGTTTGAAGAAATCCTGGAATCGAATTCGGCAATTACGACGTACGAATACTTGTACGATTATTTAAAAAAAAAAAAGAAACAAAAAACAAATGCCAGCGATGTAACAGCGATTTTTTGGCTTACAAAGATATTTTTTTGACTGGCAGGAATTTTTCCAAGGAAAAACCGGCAAATTTTTCCCTCCGGAAAAACGTGAAAAATGCGAAAAACACAACGTTCAAAAATTCGATCAATCTGTACGAAGAATTTGAAAATTCCAAGAATTTCCTCTGGAATATTTCACAAAGGTAGAAATATTTGAACGTTGAGAGAGAGAGGGAGGGAGGGAGAGAGAGAGAGAGGGCTGGCTCCGTGGGAACGGTTGGATGATCGAGGGAACAGTTTCGCCAGCGAGCAAAGTTGCTCTGTTATTCTTCTTATCACAACGAGCCGGCCACTGCTTAGTCTCCCTTTCCGTTTTCCTTCCATCTTCGTCGCCAAGTTTATCCACCGCCGGCCGCATATTTCGGCGGTTGCAGATGTATTAAGGCTGTTCATCTCAATATTGGAAAACTTGCCCGAATAAATGAAGTTCTGGCGCGAAACAGGAATTCTCTCGTCAAATTGCGAGTAGCTGAGGGCAGAGTTTCTTTCCACGCCGAAACTTCCTCGCTATCGTTTCTTCTCCTCCTTTCTTTCCCTTTCTTTCCTTTTTTTCTTTCGCTTTCCTTTTTTTCTTCCTCAACGCGTGACCCCGGTATTTCGATGAATTCACCGGCTAACAATCCCACTGTGCACTCTGCTTTGTCCTCCTTCGGCTTCCTCCTTCGCCGAGATAAAAATCTGATCGAGGAAACGTGTTCCCATTCGCGAATTAATTGCGAAACGCGTCTCTTTGCAACGCGTCTCTGTGGTAATCCATTTGGAAAATGTATTCCCATCTGCAGATCTTCGTATTAGTCGTTTGTTGCGAGTCGGTTCATTTTGATTTCGTTGCTTTAACCAGTCGCCTGTTTTTGACGAGTATACTCGTCGTGAAGGAACGAGAACCTTGTCAGTAATAGAACTCGACAACGGAACAGTCGTTTCGTTGCAACTTGATTCTGTATTATAACAGTAACACGTACTCTCTGTTTCACGAGTATACTCGTCATCGTTTAATTTTTCCCACATATTTTAGCTACACAAAGTTTCAAAGTTTTCGAAGAGGTCGCAACAGCCAACTGGTTAAACGTGGTTTATTTGTAGTATAGTTTTAAGTATCGTACTGTTACATCAGTACAGGTACGTAATTGAATATTTTCTCGTTCCTTCGTCAGCATTAGACTGCGGATCTTTATGCCACTGTGGTGAATTTAAAGATGCAAAGATTCAGAGGATGCATTGATACACAAAGATTATATTAAAAGTATAAAATGCGCAAAGTGGTGCGCTGGTTATAACTTTGAGCAGGCGAAACAAGTTACATTACATACAACAAGTTACAAACAAATTGCATAAAACTTCACAGTTTAACAATAGTTATATATATATCTAACTGTATCAAAAATGACAAAAGTGTCTCGTAATGTATACAATAAGCGCGTATATAACATTAACCATATTGCAACAAGTGTATTAGTATAACAAGTATAACTGCAGCATTTAATTTCAAAAATTCCTTACGGAGCGCGCAGGTGAAATGAAGCAACGACGAGTATACACGTCGAACGCGTTGCAAATGCTGCAACTATAAATTTAACGAAAAAACTAAAAGTAAAGTTTATTCGATAAGAAATTAACCATTCGTTATTAAAAATTCAGTCGATTTCAATGTGGTATTTCTCGAAGCAAGGTACCACATAAAGTGACACTTCGCAGGTCGAGCACCAGTAACGTGACTCCTTACGGATTCCATTTTTTCAGTAGACTGCACATGATCGAAGTGGATTTGCTTTTGATGGTATAGCTGGTATAAAGTTACATAAACTGGTATAAAACAAAACAATTCAAGGAATAGCCGACATACGCAGCAAAGAGAATAATCAAACAATCGAACGATTTTTTATAAAATACGTAATAGGTTTATTGGAAGTATACAGGAAACATGCCACTAAATGTCATTTATGTTAGTTTTTACTGAAATTGTGAGTTCTTGTAGTAAATGGTAATTTTGTATTTCACACGACAAGTATATACACCAGCCTCGGTGAAATAAAGTTTTCGATCGACGTATATACACGTCGAACGCAGTTAACTGATTAATACGCAACAAGCATATACATTGATTATTTTATACAAAGTTGAAAATTCAATTGCCAGAGGTCTACCCTCTAATTCTTAGGCGACTGGAACAAGCGTTACTAAACTTTTTTTTTTGCCGGCGTGGCGGACAAAAAGGAAGTTGCGGGAAGTTGCTAAACTTCCGTGGACGACCATGGCGGTTTAAATCAATTCGAAAAGTTTTCGCCCGACGTCGAAAGAAATTTACAGAGCTTCCGGACGTGGGCTCAAAAAATTCTCGAGTCGCGCGTGCAGACGCGAAAATACCGCACCGCCACGGGGAAAACAAGCGAGATTAATATCCATTCTACGTAGAAAAATTCCGTCGAAATTTCTTTTGCATTCTCCGCGTTGAATACGACAATTTTCTTACTCGTCTTATTTTTTTTCCAAAGAAAAAAAAAAGAGAAGAAGAAAAATAGAGAAGGAAATACAAAACCATACGCGATAAGGCAAGCGATTCTGTTCCGTAATGAAACTTATATCTTTCCCGTTTCCCTCTGCGAGATGGGAAAAGGAAGGGATGCGCGTTAATCTAAGAATTTGTTTCTTTGTTCGCTCCACCCCCACCTAAATTGTTGCGCGTTGCTTTTTAATGGCTGGAAAACCGGCGAAACTTTTTCCATGCGCACACGAGCCGCGATTTATTAGGCGATGAACGGTTTAATAAGATTCAGATAAAAAGAGGCTTATGAGATGTCTGGCTAGTTGCACGAGGAATCCGCGTCTCTCGTCGCCTCCTTTTTACGTTTCTTCTTTTCTTCCTGTTCGTATCGCTTTCTACGTGGATTACATACGGAAGTCGGCTTTATTAACATTGCTGCCAGGTGGACGAGATAAGAGTTAATCGGTGGAACGTGGCTTTATCCACGCCGAACGGAGACGCAACTAGTTATCCAGATAGACGTTACATTGTCACGTAAAGCAGCCCTTGATCCTCCTGCTCTTTTTTCAATCATGCGTCCTTCCAATGGATGAACCTTGGAATTATCAGCTAAAATGTCAGCTAATTTGTTTTGTAATTTAATTTAATTATTTCATCGATTAAACAGTCTTCAGCATAGAAAGAGAGGGAAGCTTAGAGTAATTAGTTATTAGTAATTATTTAATGGATTGAACAATTCTTAGGATAGAGAATTACATAAATACAGCGTAATGTTACGATAAATATAAAATAAGTCTGACGCGTAATACTAAATAGTAAATTATTTAACAAACGATAATCTTCGCGTGGATATGCGCTGTATAGGAAAAAATGTATAGGCGTTTCTCAGTCTGGATTGTTCTTCCATGTTCTTACATCAACTCCATTAGATTTCACTGAATTTTGTATTGTATCGTAGTACAGCGAAGGTGAAAGAGAAGCGAAGAATGTCGAGAGGAAACCGCGTTTGTGAAGGTAATTTTGCTTCGTGTAAAATTAATGTCTTGCAACTCGTTTTTAACCCTCGCACTACCGACGCGCAGTCCTGTAATGGATCATTCTGGATCCAGATGCTGGATCCACTGCTCGTTCTTGTAGCGCTTTTGTACGTGGACGTTATCCGCTTTCGTAGTCCATTATTTTCAATTTTAATAATGTTTGCTTCTTCTGTTTTTTTGAAAGACGTACAGAAATAGAAATCGATATCCTTTTACATTATTTTTCAGCGAATCATAGATACGAATATATCAGGAGCGAAATACAAATAAACAATATTTATTCCGCACAGTTGCAACGTAACGTGGTCGTGAAATTGAAATAAATATTAGATTGTTTCTTTGTTAGATTGAAAAGTTTCTTTCGTTTTTTTAATCTTATATACGCGACATTTTTCATTTAATATTATTTCATTGAATTATGTATGATCCATTTCGTAGTAATAAAATATAACTCGATAAAATAATATAAAACAAAAAGTGTCGTGCATCTGTTTATTATTTCCTTATAGAACGAAAGAAACTTTTGGGATGACCTAACGCAATGATTTTTGGTAAATATCGCATCCCGCCGAGATAAACCCGACACGGTCGCCCGAGGGGTAAGGAAACATCAAACATTTATTACTCGATAAATAATTTCAGACTTATTTCTCCCGTAAATTAATCGGCGAATCAATCGGTCGAGTCTAAAGGGGATACGAAACAAAATGGATAAAAAATATTTTTTGCACAGTTAAAGGGTTAATCGAACCGGTTACGGGTTGAAAGAGAATTCTCGATGAACCATCCTCGATCCGCTACGCGAGAAACAATCTCGGTGTTGAAACGGAAAGCGCAACTTCATTTGCCGCCGGGGTCAAGGGTTGAGAAACTCTCGAGGAAATGGTTTTCAGGGAACATCGACGACGACCACGGGCAAAATAAATTTATTTAGCTTTACCACTCGGAGGGAAATAACGCCCGCTGTGTCTACCACGTATTCTCCTCGCACGATTATATCGTCGAGTGCCGCGTGTATCTCCATTCGCCGAGGATAACAACACACTGTTCGATCGTATCTTTGGTTGTCCGCTCATGCGGCTGATATTAAGACGAACGGTCGTGGGAATCGAAAGAAAGACAAGAATCGCGTTTAAAAAACATTACGAATGAAGCGAAACGACGTGTAATGAATTCAAGACGCGTGGCAAGTTGATGGAAATTCGTGTAATAGACAGAAACACACACAGATTTCTATAGACACTGAAGTTTACTTCGCCTATTTTACGTAAGATCAATTACATCAGCCTGTTATTTCAAACACTCGCTGTCTTTTCTGGCCAAATCATCGAAAATAAAATAATAATCTGAAATAATTGTTACTACTAATGATCGTTCTACGGATTTTTGAATCTTATTGCATCGAGCTTTTGGATGAAAAAGCGACGATTCTAACGATCCGACACTTAATCACATGACGTTCCATTGCGAAACTTTGAACTAACTTTTGGACAGTTAGCGAGTATATCATAGTCGTTAGTTATCATAGTCGTTAAATAAAATACTAGTTTCAAGATTATTTTGTTCGTTCATTTTTATGATTAGATTAACCAGTCAACTGCGTTTGACGAGTATACTCTGAACCTCATGAGAAGACTAAATGCCGCTGTTAACTGGTTCAAATAAAACAGAAGGATTGTATAAAAATAGGGAGAAGGAAAGTAGTGAAAGTAGTTAACACACGTTTGTCAGCTGTTGTTCGAGAGATAACGTTTCACAGAGTTTGATCGTGATTGCATTTCTAATCCCAAGATGTTAAAATGTTGGGCAAATTGATCCTCGGCAAGCCAACACCGATATCTGAAGATTAAATTTGATAAAAATTATCAAGTCGCCGCAGAAACGGCGTTGTTTCCTAATCGCGGGAACAGTCTCACCGTCAACATTCGAACTCCTCCAAAGGTATAAAACTTTCCGTGTAATATTTTTTCGCGATTAGAAGATTAAACGCAGACGCTGCTATCAGAATCTCCGGACCTTCCGAGAAATTCGGCTGGAAATGCAGTAGTGACACGGTATTAACAAGGTGATTCAAAGCTTGTGTCGCATTAAGTCGCGAGTGGATTCGTAAATCTTAGGAACTGCCGGCGAGCGAGCCAGTAGATAACGAGGCAAATATTCCAAATACCGGAGACGCGTAATTTAATCTTCGTAGATTCGGGCAGCACAAAGTCTGGAGCGCGGAACGCATTCCCGACAGACATTTTCGCTGTTGCTTTTAAAGAGCACCGTGGAACCAGCTGCTCCGGCCGAACGATGTTCTTGCGAAAAAAAAAGAAGAGTTTGTTTAGGAACTGGATAACTCGAAACGGAGCAGGTGAATTTCATACAATTCCGCGTCCGCCACGTGTAATTGTATAGAGCAGGAAATTGTATACACAGGCGAATTAAGCAGATGTTGGGTAGTTTGCTTTGAAGGATTCATTAAATGCGAAAGACTGTCTGAATGAAAGGCAAACGCCGAGCGACGAATAGAATTATTGGCGTAAGACAGATTAGGTAACTTTGTGAAATTTCTAATTTTTTTGGCAACTGTTTTGGCAAAATGTAACTTCCGTGTCTTGAATTTAAACGTGTCGCACGTTACGATGATTGCAGATGTTTGTGCTAATTTATCTTTTCAGGAACGTAATTGGGGAAGAAAGTTTAAACAGAGATTTGTTGCGCGTTTTAAATAATAGGTCGAATATTTTAGTTTACATATTTGATGTATTTTTGCACGTTATGCGCTTTCCATACACCGTCGCATATTTAATTTACATCGTCACGATTCATCGAGATATATACGTAGTCATAGTTGACTATAATTCAACATAATTGTATAATAACACCGAGTTCCATTTTGATCGGCTACCAGCATCATTCGGAAGTACATTTTGAAGCACTAAACTCTCAAATAACTATATTTTCAAGCTTCGAGAAACTCTTCAGCTGATTCGATTGGCAATTAGGAAATTAAATAAATAATCGTAAGAACAATTAATGTATATGTCTCTCGAATCTCGTAATTTATCATTTGTTAAAAAGAAAAAATGATAACGTATTTGCTCGTTGAATACATTAAGCGACACGCGTATCTATGCGTATATTAGCGATATCCTTTTAACCAATCAGTTGTTTTTGACGAGTATACTCGTCATGAAGAAACGGCGATATTTTGTGTTAACACGAGTATGCGATAGATAATATATGATATAGAAAGTAAGCGATGACGAGTATACTCGTCATGACACAAAGTATTGCCCTTTCTTTACGACGAGTATACTCGCCATGACACAAAATATTGCTCTTTCTTTACGACGAGTATACTCATCATGACACAAAATGTTGCCCTTTCTTTACGACGAGTATACTCGTCGTCGCTTACTTTTTGCGACACGTGTTAGGTGCACGCTTTTATAACTTTTGCAACAGTTAACTGGTTAAACGATCATATTTTCTACATAATCAAACATCGTTTTAGAAGAAAATCTGATTGCCAATATTTTCGTTTGTCGCTGTATATGCATCAAAAGACCATTTCGAATTGCCTCGTTCGGCAGTTGTTCGATCAAGTCTGTTGATTTTGGTTTCTGCAATTCTGTTTGGACAGATCCTAGCTCGCCACTGTCTTTTCCGTGCTGCTTGTTGACTTGTTTTATCTTATCTCGTGGAGGATGCTTAAACTTAATTCCGACACGATGATGCCTCGATGGCAATAAAATTGTGCGTGAACGTCGATCGACCGTGTTTTATCGGTCTGGCTTTATCAGCTTGGCTGGCAAGAAACTCGTTACCTTTTTCTCGATTACCTTTCACTTCGTCGTCGGATCGGAAAATCTCGTTCGCCTCTCGAAACTGTCGCTAAAAGCTGTGTAACCTGGTTACTCGACGGCAGAAGGAAAAGGAATATCGTTCAAGTCGAACGACACCGCCCAAACGATCACAAATTTTCCTGTTTCTCCCCTGTCAAAGCGTTTGGTGAGACGCGACTCGTCCCGTATCTTTCGGTCGCGATAATTTTTTAATAACCATAATCTTCCTTATCTACGAACAAAGAAAATTGTAATTCGTCTCACAGTTTCTACGATTCAATCGGGAACTTGGAAGCTAACGATCAGGCTGTGAATCTTTCCGCATTTATGGGATATTTAAGGATACTAAACTGCACAGAATAACGCACATAATACGAAAAAAATGGATAAAACGTGGAAAGTACGATGCTCGTTGATAACATTTAGTGGGTAAGCCAGTTATCTGCTTAGGTTCCATTTTATTGCTATTTGTGAAAATATGAATTTGCATAAACATTTATATTACCTTATATAGGTAATAATTAATGCTATATAAAGATAATAATGAAACCACATTTTAACATATTAATAACAGTGTTTAATTAATAATCTGGAAGATATTATACAATTCGAACAGAATCATTATTTTATAATTATTATGATATACATAATATTTTATAGCCGTATGAATTAGTTTCTTCAATTGAGGAGTAGAAAAAATGACGACGTTACAAAATATCGTTTTTAAAATTCTTATTATTATTTCCTATTATTTATATCATCTTCTCGCGATGAATCAGCCTACCAGAGGCAACCTTTTTCTCGAAAATTGCATATTAATCGCGTACTAGCGTAACGAAACCGAGAAGTCGAAAAATCGTGTCGATTAGAATCAACATGGTCTAACATATAACACTCCATTTACCTGTTGGAAACCGAAAAACGATAAAGTTTTACACGCACGCCTGTTATTTCCCCTGGTGACTAATCAGCGAAAAGTAAATCGTTGTACCGCAGGTCTTTTAAAAAGAAAAGGATCAGAAAGATTTCGAAGGATCGCCGGACTTTCTCCTAATTACTTTCTATTAAAATTCACATAAAAATATACGAGGGCGAATGGAACGACAAAGAAATTTACGATTCGCTGGCGGCACGCAACTTCCATCCGCCGGGCCAATGAAATTTTAAGGCCAGACACGAAATTAATTAAACGACACTGCGTACGACAGTGTACGCACGGCACCAATCAAAAAATTTCCCCGCTGTAATACGGTGTGTCCATGTTCCATGCGACGAGTGATCGATGACACCCTGAGCAACGGTACTTCCGCAATTTCTGATTCTTATCAGTATCTACCTAACGATTCTGAATGAGCTTGGGCACATTGATTTATTCTCAGAACGTAGAATTCGCAAAGCGACCTCATGCAAATTTTACACGGCCCACTGAAAACCTAGAAAATCTTATTATTTAACGGCGATGGCTCGGAGATTAATTTTACTTTATTTAGTTAGTATCCTTCGTTACAAAGCATGTGTGTGTGTGTGTGTGTGTGTGTATGACATAAGAGGTTCGTAACGAAGTCACCGGAAAATAAAAACAGTAGAAGCCATCGAATTTGTATCGAATATCGGCAAGTGTCTTAATGCTTGCGGCAAGCGGTATATCTGGAACAAATTTGAAGAGTTTCAGCTTAGACCAGCGCTTCTTAAAGTTTCTCCATTCGCGACCCAATTTTTCCCGAATGAATTTTACGCAACCCTGGTTACATGCATAAAGAGCTGCAGAAAATAAATATGTACAAGTAAAACATTAATCGGTGATAAATCAGAGAAGTTTCGGTTTAAATTAATCTTTGTCAATCAATGTTTTATAATTTTATCACCTATTTCCAGTAACAAATTTGCATATTGTTTAGACAATAATTGATTGTTTGCTTCTGAATATTCGATATAACAGGATATCATCCGACCTTTTTCGGAGTTAGTCGATGTTGTTCTGATTTTACAGTCGTCAATGATGGAAAACGTCATTTCGTAGGGGACGTGCGATATTGATCATTGTAAGCGTGTTTTAAGCCAATTTTAAGAGATCGTTGGAAATTTTATTCTAATTCCGAGAAAAAATCCATTTTAACGACTTTTTAAAAAATTGCTGTTTTATACATAAGTCGATTCTTGATCCTTCAGCCAGTTAGCTGTTGCGACCTCTTTGAAAAGCGACGACGAGTATACTCGTCAAAAACAACTGACTGATTAATGACAGATGATGGATGTTTTTTTATTTCACCGGTCTCTGTCAGTTGTAGAAATTTTCACGACACCATAATTCCTTTACGCGATTCCATACGGGCTTCGAGAAACCCTAATTTTAGCCAAACGAGTTTTGTATCACGAGGAATTCTAAAAATAAATCTTACCATTGGACAAGCTTCATTGACAAATTTCCGGTTTCAACTGTGACATGGTACGAGTCAGACAGAAATAAAACTGATAATTTCCGTTACAATGAATTATTCAATTCTCGAATAGCCACGCGCTAATTATATTCCCTGTTAATCTTCTCTATTTTCCATCAAATTTGCTCGATTCAGCAATCTAATTCATCGACATGAAAAAATTACAGAAAGCCACAGCAGATTGAAAGATAGCGAGCAGAAACCATAATGTAATTTTCTCATTTCCATTCAATTCTTTCGCTGTCCTCGTCTGTACATCTGCACAGTATGTTTTTTCCTCGTTCCAAGTGTTTCTTTATATCGTCGTCTCGAAAAGCTTGTAAGCGGTCGTAAATCGAAGAACGGTCGGTTAAATAGCTTTTGTCTAATACTCGCCGCTAGTTGCAACACAGCACAGCGAAACGATATTCTCGTTGAAATCCAAGCGCGATAATAAAACAGCTTGTTTGCCAGTCGCAGCTTCCGATGTATCTTACTATTTTATGCAGTGACGAGTCGTGCCGTATTCGGCCCAGTCGTTCATGAAAATAGTCGGTTTGAGTCATGAAATCGGCGATCGTCACGAGTGGCTTGGATTCCACTTTTGCAACAAACGATGCGCCGTTCTTGGCACGTATCGCGTGAATGTTTAACAAGGATAAGTATTATCGCGGCGCGCCTTGGTTTTTCCATCCAAACCGTCGATAAAACTGCCTCGTGAAACATGCATTGTTTCTTTGGATAATTAGAGAAATTTTTACAGAAATAATTAGCAAACGTGCTGTTAACTCAATTTAATTAGGAAATAATCATTTCGATATTTTTACTATTTATACATTTACTGTCAACTTTGTACTTTATATTTTATATGTTAACTTTAATTATATTTTACTATTCTTTTTATTATTTATTATATACATTATTATTAACTTAAATTTTAATTGTTCGTATTGTATTTAGAAAATTGTAACTCGAACATGTTCCCGTGTATTTTCGTATTTTTCAATTATTCTCTGTCGCGTATTCTATATTCTCGTTATTATTCGTCCGATCATTCGCATGTTTCGAAAGTTTACTTCAGAAAAGTTCAAGA